TAGTAAAAGAAGATGAGAGGAAATAAGTTGAAATCACCGTTGACCCGTGACAGAAAACAGAGTTCACACCCTCTGCCACAGGTTCTGGCAGCCTTTTGCATTCAAATAAACATTTTTTAAAGAAAGAGCTAATTGAGTATATTTGTAATAACATAAGTCACTAGTACAGCTGTACCGAGATCTAAATTTATTTGCCCATATAGGAAAAATGCCCCCTGAAGAATAAGAGGCATGCGGGAGAGGAGGGGCATGCTGAGAACAGGTGGAGGCTTTGCCTACAGGATGCGGGACATTCACAAGGAGTACAGGCTCTCTCTGTCTGTGATGATGGGTCTTTGTATGTAGGGCCCAGATGTAGTATTTTGGTTGACGTTATCATCCTTATCCCTGATCTTCTTTCAATCATCTCTAGACTTTTGTGCAGCAGGAATGATTAGAGTTCTTAGCCAAACTGTTTTGAATTTATTTATTTAATTATAACAGTACACAAACAACTCAGAAATAAGCTACCGAAAATAACTTTTTAGAATATGTTTCCATTGGGTCGAACCATCAATCTCAGGAATCAGAAATACTATGCAAACCCCTGAAAAGTATGGAAAGAATGGTTTAATTATAATTAATTGTCATGAATGATGCCATTTTCATTTAGTCTACATAATACTAAATACAAAATTTAACTTTTAAGGCAGGATGTTTTTTTCTTTGCTTTATCAGTGACTCTATAAGACATATGCCATTTAAAAATGAGATGAAGGGGAAGTTTCAAAAAATTTTAGTTATGATTCTTAGTTTACAGAATAAGTTTATTTGTGAAAGGAAGAGAATGCTTAAGTTTTCTCTGGGGAGTTGGGGAGAGGTAGCATGGGGAGAAATGGCAGATATAGGTGATGGGGAGGAAGTCAGCAAATCACACTGCCATGTGTGTACCTATGCAACAATCTTGTATGTTCTTCACATGTACCCCAAAACCTAAAATGCAATAAAAAATAAAATAAAATAAAAAATCTTATGTCTTACATTACAAGAAGGAATATTTAGTAAATGGAAAAATACATTTGATGCATATGAATTTATATGTCATTTTATATTTGGCATATTTTACATGAAATTTGAGCCTCTTATATTTATCATTTCATTTAACTGATAGTGTCCCAGTATTTTAACTTGTAGGTCCATGGTGAGATGAAAGAGTACCTCTTATAATTATTATTATTTTAAACCTTTATTTCAGGTTCAGGGGTACAATTTGCTATATAGGTAAATTGCATGTCACGGGGGTTTTATATACTGATTACTTAATTACCCTGATATAAAGCATACTCTTATTGATTATGATTTTGAAATCTTTCTTACATAATCCTTATTCGAAAAATGAATTTGAGAGGCTCAGTTGCTGTTTAAAGACCCTGAGGCCTTTTGGGCAGGGTGCATTAAGACTTCCAGTGAGATGCTTCTTCCTACGAAATCACTTTTCCCTCAGATGAGGATACTGAGGTAATGGAAAAACCCTTAATCTCCAAAGCATCCCTGAATGTGCCACCCTGAAAATTAACCTCATTCATCCCTTTCCCCCACCTTCATTTTTTTTCTTTTTTGAGACCTCAGAAAAATTGAGCACATAAATTAAAGTGTCCCCTTAGCTGTTCTAACTTATGCAGCCAGCATTCACTCAGCAGCACCCTGGTCTCAGAGACCTTGGCAACATCACAGGGGTCATATTTTTACCCAAACTCTTCATGAGCCATTTTTTCAACATCTTAGGCCAAAACTGGCTTTTCTATGATTTCAGAGATGAAGCCTGTCTTCTTTTTTGTCTTAATTTTTTTTTTGAAAAGGCATTTATTGTGACTATTCTGAGAAAAATCTCACTTTCTAGTAACGTTTGCATTCTCCTTTGTGTCTCCAGCAATGTATTAGGCAGATAAAGAGGTACAGGATCTTACTCTGTATTTATATGTTTTCATTTTTTATTGGGAGACACCCTGTCCACACTTTCAGTATCACAGATCAAGTCATGTTTGTTGATATTTTTCAAAAACAGGCTAGTTCTAAGGAGAGGTTTTGGTTGACTTGCTCTTCGGAGAGGTTCTTTGCACCATTGTCCTGATTGTTCGGCGGTACCATTGGTGGAAGTTAGGATACTTTTCTAGTTGTCTGAAGGCCAAGGGTCAATAAAACATCCCCCGCATCATTTACCACCCCACGTTAGTTAAAGCAAACAAGAAACATGCAATAAGCTATTTTCCAAAAATCTCCCCAAATTCAAATACGTAGTAGGTTTATGTTGATGGTCTTGAAGAAGGTAATCTACTCAAGGGACCAGTTGAATGAATGTGTGTTGGTCACAGACCAGTAGCAGCTGTAGCTTAACTGAGCATTCAAAAATTAAGAAATAGAATGGTTTGCCAACCCTGGAGTTCCTCTCTTTTTTCATAGGATTATTTCTTCCATTTGTAAGAACAGTCTGGAGGACTTACTCTGTCCCACCAACATACGGGTACAAGATCAAATTTTTTTTGACATGCCCTTTTCTTTGGTATACTATACTTTTCCATCATTTATGTCACCTAGTTTCCATTGTATATTAAAATTTGGATTTGTTTCAAAGGAAAATTGAACTGCCTGCTTCTAAGAAATTTAAACACTCCTATGAACATTTAAGGCCTCTATTCTTAAAAGAATATGGTAACTTTATTTTGCTTAGAATAAATGTATTTGAATCACAAAAGCTTTAAGTTAGTCTTAAGGATGATTGATAGCAAAGACTGTTTCCGAAGCCCCCACCATAACACACATACAAACGGCATTTAGAGCTCTAAAAATTTAGCCTTAAGACAATTTGAATCTTGAGGAAATGTCTTCTCATTTTTCAATCTGTCTTGACTTTATTATAACCTTGGAATTAAGTGTGGGGTTCATTCTTTCTTGTGCATCCCTTTGAAAACCTCCTTAGTAATGCTGCTAACTGCTGAAACTTTTGCCTTATCATCCATACCCACTTTAGTTTTTGCTGACACCTTACTTAACTCTTACATTTTTATATTTAAATCTTGGCCAGTGTAGAATATGTCCCACTGGAAGTAACGGTACCTGGCTGACTTTAGTTGTATCTTTGTGATTTGTCTCAGGCATATGAGACAAATCTTACTCCTTTCTCTCCTTCTGTAGACAGGGAATATTAGGTCACCACAGAGACAAAGAAGGGGAAACCGTGGGTGCTTAATGATGAGGGAAGACAAAACTGCTTAGGAAGTGCTCTTTGTTCCCAGGGAAGAAGTCATTTATAAATACATGGATTTAGGGCATGGATTCAAGCCAGTTTGAATTCACATACGTTTTGCTGGACAATTGTATCACAATATTGACTCAAGTCCAGATTAGGACCTCTGGGGTGTCCCTTTCTCTACTAATTTGTAGTTTATTGGTTCCATGATTCCATTACTCTCTATCTGATTTTCTCGACATTTCTCTTCCTATTTTACCACGGTCAAAAGTTTTGTTTGGGACTGGCAGATACAAGAGGCTACAGAATACTGGCATCACATTTAATTTCCTTGATTCTTGGAGACTCATTGTGTTCTCCATAATTTATTAAAAGGAAAAGAATCAATAGTAAAGAAGGCTTATTAGTCCATTTCCATTGAAATCTGACTTTGTCATCTATGTCCTCAGCTGCCTACATCTTTAATTTTATGAAGTACAGGTGAGCTCCTTTATGGATGCATCAACTAATTGAATTCACTTAAAGGAAAAAAAAGAGACTATATTTTTTCTTTACTCCTTCACTATAGACACTCTCCATAATTGCAAAAAGAAAAGAAAGGTACAATAGTGATCCGAAGTAATCCTAATTATTTCAATGGATATTGGAACTCTATCAATTACTCAAATAAGTTAGGAATGGAGGTATGTTGGGTTAAGAATCATCAGCACGTGAGTTGATAGTCCCAAGTAAACAAATGGTTTGCACGTGAGTTGATAGTCCCAAGTAAAACAAATGGTTTGCACGTGAGTTGATAGTCCCAAGTAAAACAAATGGTTTGCACGTGAGTTGATAGTCCCAAGTAAAACAAATGGTTTGAGATGCATGTGGTATCCCGGCTCTGGTCCTGAAATTCTTCTGAATATAGCACCCCGTGAAAGGTATGTCCACAAATTTGCATTTTCAGTTTTTGAGTGATGGTTGAGGGTTTGGTGGAGAGTACGTTTGGAAGTCATTGTATGAAACCAGAAGTTTGATTGGGGCTTGACTTGGTGAGATATCAGATTAGGTATAGAGCTCGAAGCAAAGACTTCAAATCCCTGGTGAATGCACAAGCATTTATTGGGCCAGATTTATAAATGTGTGGTCAGTGTTGAAACTGATAGTTTCCTATGACATAGCCTCTTGGCTTCTTGGATACATACTCTGAAGTATGGGCAGGAAAGGGTGTGGGAGGAACAGAGGAAATTTGTTTTCCATGCCTATCGTTTTATGGAAGTTCCATTTCAATGCCCATTAAGACTATGTAAGTAAGACATCAAAGGAATCAGAAGAAAATGACCAGTTAAAAATGTGAGTGGTCAACCTGTAAAATAGAAAGAAAAAATGAAATGAATGGTGACTCCTGTAATGCTACTCCCTACTGTGGCATACATACTAGTGTTTGTTTACAGCTTCCTGGTTCATGAAAGGATTGTACTTCTCCGCCCTCTAGAAGAGGAACTGTTGGATGAGTTCTGGCCACTGGATTGTGGGGGGAAAGTGATGTATGTCACTGTATAGCCAGGACATTCAATTGGGATGGTGAGACCTTCAGCTGCAGTGATCATGGAAGGATGTGCTGAGATCCATGTCTCTGTCAGCAGGGTCTCTGAGTGACGAGAGTGAACAGAGCCCTGCTGCCAACCCATGTTTGACATGTAGCATGAGCAAGACAAAAATGCTGTTTTCAGTTGCTGAGATTTTGAAGTGAAGTTGTTTGTTACTGCAACATGACCTAGCCTATGCTGACTGTCACATTCATCAACAAATAGTGTAGACCTCAGGCCAGGTTTATTCCCCTTAATGTCAACCTCTTTAGAGGGGCTTACCTTGCACTGTCAATCTCCAGGTGGTAAACAGATCTTATCAGAGACTGCTGGAGGCCCATCAAGATGCTTGCTCGCTCTTTGTTTCACCTTTTCAATTCTATGTGGATGGCTAAGTTGTGCTTTCAGTGCACACTGACCTGTTTTTAATTGAGGCAGAGAGAATAGAAATCTTCTCTTTTGTCTCAGGCTGTCTCTTATGCTGCATCCTCCAATCAGAGGCCCTGCCTTTGGAAGATTTGGAGACACCTGCCAGGACATGAATAACACTGGCAATTTGATCCTCATTGGGCCAGTGATTCTTGAGTGTGTGTTTGTTCTCTGTAAGTTGGATCCCAGAAGGGATAATGGGGGAGTGTTAGGCTTCTTAACATCCCACAAAAGACATCCTCCTTAATTTTATTCTGGTAGAAGCTTTATATTTGTATCATAGGAGTAAAGTTTTAACAAGTTATATTTTGTACATTCTTGTGTTTAACATGACACATTTAATTCAGGAATGCAATTTTTAATTCCACCACCTTTTCATGTAAAAATGGTAAGAAAATACATTGGGAAAAAAATGGAACTCTTAGAAATTTCACTATCTGACCTAGGAATGGGCACCAACACTATAAAGTAGCAAAGACTATTTATGAGAGAAATTTACATGACATTATTCTCTGTCTATAAATATGTCCTCAATGCAAGAAGACCAAGGAGGGGGAAACTCCCTTGTAATACTCATTTAGGGAAGTGAAGGACTGCTTTCCAAACCAAGGCAAGTGCTGTTGCAGTAATGGGGCATCAAACAGGCAAAATTGTATGTGTTGTCAATGGCTACAATGTAATTTTATTGATTTACAATGTTTAAAGTGAAGACATGATTTCTAGCTTATATAAGGTGTCACACTGGAGTAGTTGCACACCAACTGGATTTTATGACCAGAAAAGAATATGTAATGCCCACACAGATTCCTTAGGCTGTCTAGCAATTATGGTTGTTCAGTAATCAAGGAATTATTATTAGCAGCTGTCTTGTTTGAATACTCATAAAAGAACAGATGTTACCTGGTGTGGATTTGGTTTTAGAATACTTGTTTGAATCATCCAAAGGAAAACATCCTCAAGTTGCTAGCTTGGTGTGGTCTCAATCCATTCTGCCTTCTTGGTCCTCAGTTGTCCAGGTTTTCAGGAATCCCATAATGCTCTGTTACATGGAGGCTGCCATACCCCAGGCTGAAGTACAAAAGCATTGCGAAATAACATCTGTCTTTCACCAATGTTCACCAGAGTCCTCAGAAGCAGTGATTCTTACACCCCTGTATCAGAATCGCCAGGTTTCCAGTTCCTGTCTCAGATGCACTGAAGTAGAATCTCCTGGGCATAGGTACTTGAAGGGTGTATTTTGCACGAACACCCTACTAAATTCTTACACACAAGAGTCTAGGAATCTGGAAGTGAAGAAAGAATGTACATAAGTTGTGACCCATTAGAAAATTTTAAAGAATGTATGGGGTCGACTTTCATTACCATTTTATTTTCCATTTATGGAATACCTTTATTCAGAGAAACTAAAAAATCCAGGTTTACATCCTTTTTTTCCAAATGACTTTCATGATGCTTTAAGACACATTACATTTAAGATTTGTTGTACATAATAATACATGTCCAGATATTTCTACTTCCACAGGGATTATAGATGTATTTTATGTAAAGACTCTGTCTGGAGCTTACCCATTCCATTTTTGACAATAAAATGCTTTGAGATATTTTGAGACAATTGTGTTTAATGAAGGAGCAGACCATAGCATTTTCATTTAAAATTAAAAGATGTTAGTTTGCTGAGACCAATACAGATTTATAAAGCGATTTTCAAAATATTGCCACCTCCGTCATGAAATAATAAATGTTTTCTGAGACTGACCAATACTGTGATGTGATTAAATTAGAAATCCATTTCTGTTCTTACAGGTTGTTGTGGTCAACACAGGATGTCATTTCTCACAGGCTAAAAATTGCTGACAGAGCCCATGAATAAGTTGATAAATATGAGCAATTTTTTTGCAGAAAAAATATGCTCAAGTTAGCATACAGAAAGAAAAAAAAGATATTTTTTCCATGTGATGTTTTGTAAGAAGGCTGTGATATTTTTTGTTACTGGTGATTGGCTTAGCCGGGAAACATATTAAAGGGTAATTACCATCAGTCCTCTTTGAAGGCACAAAAGGTGAATTCTTATCTGTGGTCATTCTAGGGGCGTGGTTTTGTTCCTTTCTGAACCCTCACCAGATGCGAATCTTATTTGATCAGTTTTGCAATGCTTCTTCTTAAGACAGACTGGCACAAGGAGTCTGTGGCCTTCTAGGTAGTGACTTCTCTGGGTACACAGGTATCCACCTCATTACAATAATGTTCCTTGAGATTCTTTAAGGCCATCAACCCTGA